CCCGGGTTCAAATCCCGGACGAGCCCGGCTTTTGGTCCAAGGGAAAAGTCGTTTCCTGCTCTTTTTTAGATTCCGCTCGGCCTACAGACCTCAGCGCTAGACATGGACGCCCTTCAAAGGTAATTTGTACAAAGGTCTCAAGCTATGTTGACGCCGCCTACTATCTTACTACCTCTTCTTAAAATTCATCTAGAGTTCTGTCACCAGTGTTGCCAGAGCCCTTTTGACAAGCTATTTTTTGTCCTTTGTTTGGTTTTTGGTGGTTTTTTGTTTTGTTTTGTTTTTTTGTTACTTCTGTCAGTGCAAACTCAAGGCACTGAAGAAGAGACAAGTCCCTATATACAATAAGAGCCGAATCTTCACAGTCAGACGCCTTAAAAGGTCCAGTCTGGGACTCCCACCCACTATCCCTGGCTCTAGCAGTCACAGTCTTAAGGAGAGAGGGAGCCGGACACTTAAGCAGAGGAGATGGGATATGGGCGTTTGTATCTGGGGTCCAGAGGCCTCTCCCTCCCGACATCCCATCACTCCTCACCTGCGTGTAGCCTCCTGGGGCTGCTCTGCTCCCCTGTCCTAGTTTTGGAAGGAGTACGGACTGAACCCTGGAGCCCGGGTACCTGGTCCTGAGTCCTAGCACCCATCAGGACTGGGGCCTCCTCTGATCTACTCTGAGGACAGATTCTGTTGGCAGGGACTTCATTTTTGTTTGGAACTCTGGGTTTGAGAACATACTCTCAACCAAGAATCAAAGAAATTTACAAGGAAAATGGACCCAGCACAAGGAGGCCGGGTGCGGTGGCCCATGCCTGAAATCCCAGTACTTTGGGAGGCTGAGGCGGGTGAATCACCTGATGTCAGGAGTTTGAGACCATCCTGGCCAACATGATAAAACCCTGTCTCTACTAAAAATACAAAAATTAGTCGGGCATGGTGGCAGGCGCCTGTAACCCCAGCTACTAGGGAGGTTGAGGCAGGAAAATCGCTTGAACCCGGGAGACAGAGGTTGCAGTGAGCCGAAATGGCGCCAGTGTACCCCAGCCTGCTGGGTGAGAAGGTGAGACTCCATCTAAAAAAAAAAAAAAAAAAAAAAAAAGCAAGCAAAACAAGGTATCATGAACAACAAGTCATCAACAGTAGACAACAGAAACAAAATTGCAAACATTTTAGATGCAGAGTATTAGGAAGATTGTAATACAATTATCCTTATGAAAGGCAATAAATAAAATAATCTTTGACAACAGGACCTATGTAAAATGCTCTCCTTTCAACCTTCTAGTTTGAAAAAAGAACCAAATAGTTCTAGATATAAAAGCACACAGTAATGGAAATGGAACAGCTAGATGCACGTCACAGTAGGTTACAGTGCGGAGCGGCACCTGCGGGGGCTTCTGCGAGCTCCAAGTGAGCTTCAGGCATTTTGTCTGCATCTCTGAGGATGGGTTCATTTGCCGTACACACAGCAGAACTCTCCTGTTCCTGTAATTCGAGTGGTCTCAAAAAAGAGGTTGTCATTGACTCTTTTAGGTGCGTGCAGTGTGGGTATGTTTTTTCTCTTTCTGAAAGGAGGACATTTCAGCGGACGGCAGAGAATACAGATTTATGCCGGAGCGGTGGGGAAGGAGCCTCTGGCGGGTCATCCGCATTTATGGGAGATCGCAGAGTGGTGAGCGAAGTCTTACACCGCTGGGGGCATCGGTGCGGAACTGAAACTGTTGTGGGGGACCCCCAGTCGCCCTGATTTCTGGGTCTGATTCATTATGTCACTTAGTTTCTACTATTCTCATGCCACCCCGCCAATTACTAGACATAAAGCATTCGTAAGGGAGCCCGGCTAGCTCAGTCGGTAGAGCATGAGACTCTTAATCTCAGGGTCGTGGGTTCGAGCCCCACGTTGGGCGACTTGTTTTCTTCCTTGCTACCTTGGAGTTCTGGAAACAGCCAGCCTTTAATGAACACTGCTAGGTGCCGCATCGCGCTCTGTGATGGTATCCCCTCAATCATTGAATTTTGGTCCCCGCGCGCTCGCAGCAGCGAGGATTGTCGGTGAAGTGACCAAAGGCAGCACCGGGATTGGCTGGTTGCCAGCCGGGGGTGAGAACGGAGGGGCCACAGGATGGGTATGAGGGGCGCAGGGGCCTCTCCCCACTTTGTGCGGTGCGGGGAGGTGCCCGGGCGCTGGCCCACCCGCTGTTGAATTTACCCCTTTCCAGCAAGCCTGCAATCCCAGTCTTCTCTCCCTTTGCTGTCGCCGGCTTCAGCTGTACTGCTCCAAGTACTCCACCACTGCCCCAAAGAAAAGTAAGTCTATCACTACCGTGGCTCGTTGGTCTACGGATATGATTCTCGTTTAGGGTGCGAGAGGTCCCGGGTTCAAAACCCAGAGGAGCCCTTCTGCTTATTTTTTGAGACTCTGTGGAGTCTGGCTCGGTCGCCCAGGCTGGAGTGCAGTGGCGCTATCTGGACTCAATGCAATCTCTGCCTCCCGGGTTCACGCCATTCTCCTGCCTCAGCCTCCCGAGTAGCTGGGACTACAGGCGCCTGCCACCACGCCCGGATAATTTTTTGTATTTTTAGTAGAGACGGGGTTTCACTGTGTTAGCCAGGATGGTCTCCATCTCCTGACCTCGTGATCCGCCTGCCTCGGCCTCCCAAAGTTCTGGGATTACAGGCCTGGGTCACGGCGCCTGGCCTTTTGAGCTCTTACTTTTTCACAAAATATTTCTTTTTTGTAGAGATTGAGAACCGCTGACAACTCTGATTTCCAAGGGAAACCCGACACCCTAGGAGGGAATAAAAAGAAATGTTGAAAAGGCTCAAACTGGGTCCTGAGGTCCTTTGTTTTTTATTTTATCGAGACCTGGGGTAGGGGGACGGGAGGTGGGGAGAGGGTCTCCCTATGTTGCCCAGGCTGGAGCGATTACAGGCGTGAGCCACCTCGCCCGGCATCTTTTAATTTTTAATTGGAACCTTGGGGGGTCCGCAGGGATCCTGGGGCAGGGCACTAGGTCCAGCTCAGGGCGTTAGGGGAGTAGAGTCCGTAGGAGACTTCGGCTTTCCACTGCCATGCACTTTCTTTCCTTTTTTTTTTTTTTTTATTTGAACGAAGTCTCACTCTTGTCCCTTAGGCTGGAGTGCAATGGCACAATCTCGGCTCACTGCAACCTCCGCCTCCCGGGTTAAGCGATTCTCCTGCCTCAGTCTCCCGAGTAGCTGAGATTACAGGCGCCCGCCTCCACGCCCGGCTAATGTTTGTATTTTTAGTAGACACGAGGTTTCAGTATGTTGGCCAGGCTAGTCTCGAACTCCTGACTTCGTGATCCGCCCGCCTCGGCCTCCCAAAGTGCTGGGATGACAGACATGAGCCACCGCCCCGGCCAACAGCCATGCACTTTCAAGGGCTCAAGTCCAGGGTTTACTCCGGTGAGACTCAACCCCTCGGTCCTGGATTTTTTTTCCTTCAATTTATAAAATATGAAGTTACTGGGGGAATTTAGAATATGGATTGTATATTAGACGGTCTTGTTTCATGAGTCTCTGAGGTCCCGGAAGCTCCCTTGGTGGGATGAGTATCTTGAACAGCTCCAATTCTGCTGAATTTTTACCACTGGGTAAATGACAGTCACAGTGGATTCCATGGGCCGTGTCCACGATCCTGGGGGCGTCCGTTTTGAGCAGCCTCAAGGGGAGGGCTTTGTCTGGCGCTTTGCTCCCCCTCTCGCGCGGAGCCTGGAAAAGCGAGGTCCTGGGTAGACTCTCCCGGGCCGCCTCCATGTCTCGGACGTTGGCCCCGCTCTAAGTCGTGGCGCTCGGCCCTGGGGTGCGGCGCAGGGGTCTGCTAAGAGGGCGCTGACTTGGGCTTGCAGTTGAGCTTCTGGAGGTCCGGTGAGGTGTCTGTCCCGCGCCGTCTGAAATCTTCCTCTCCGTTACTGTGCCCTGCGGGATTAAAAAAATGTTTTAAATTGTTTTTAAATCTTCTTTGATATGGGGTCTTCCTCTGTCCTCTAGACTGGAATGCAGTGGAGCGATCTGGGCTCACTGCAGCCTCCGCCTCCCAGGTTCATGCGATTTTCCTGCCTCAGCCTTCCGAGTAGTTGGGGGAGCCACCACACCCGGCTAATTTTTGTATTTTTAGTAGAGACGGGGTTTCACCATGTTGGTCAGGCTGGCCTCGAACTCCTGACCTCGAGTGAGCCACCCGCTTTGGCCTCCCAAAGTGCTGAGATTACTGGCGCGAGCCACGGCGCCCAGCCCCTGCAGGATCTTTTGTCACACGCTAGGCCCCAGGCGGACCTGACTTTTATTAAACAGCAGTACTTTGGGAGGCTGAGGCGGGCGGATCACGAGGTCAGGAGATCGAGACCATCCCAGCTCACACAGTGAAACCTCCTATCTACTAAAAAAAAAAAAAAAAAATTAGCCGGGCCCGGTGGTGGGCGCCTGTAGTCCCAGCTGCTAGGGAGGCTGAGGCAGGAGAATGGCGTGAACCCAGGAGGCGGAGCTTGTAGTGAGCCGAGATCGCGCCACTGCACTCTAACCTGGGCGACAGAGCGAGACTCCGTCTCAAAAACAAAAACCAAAAAAACACAATAGGGCTGTCAAGCGCCTCGCGTCAAGGCTCAGTGCTCCACCGACCCACCCAGCCCGAGACCCTCCGTTTCTCTCTGACTCCGAAGGAAAATTTAGTTCCTTCGGGCGCCTGGGACTCCCTTCTGGAGGATCAGACGAGTCGGACTCCCCCAAGCCCATGCGGGCTAAAGGAGCGGAAACCACGCGGGAGAGGACAGCGCCGGGTGCTCGAGGACACAGACTGGAGAGCTCTGCGGGGACTGGGCGTTTTCTCTCATTCTCTGCGACCCGAATGGAGGCTGCTGCGTTGGAAGAACTCAGCTAAGACTTTTTTTTTTTTTTGAGACAGGATCTCACTCCCGTGGCCCAGGCTGGAGTGTAGTGGTGCCATCTCGGGTCCTTGCAGCCTCCACTTCCTAAACTCAAGCGATCCTCCAGCCTCAGCCTCCCCAGTAGATGGGACCACAGGTGAGCACAACCACACCTGGCTAATTTTAAAATTTTTTTGTGGAGACGGGGATCTCGCTATACTGCTCAAGCTGGAATACTTTCTTGAATAAATGCCCAAACCAATTCTAGGACAGTTTTCTAGCCACCTGTGATGAGTTATTCTGTCTTTTAATATTCTCAGTAGGCTGTTTGACAGCTGCCCCAGTGGCCTAATGGATAAGGCACTGACCTCCTAAGCCAGGGATTGTGGGTTCGAGTCCCACCTGAGGTAAGACAACACCAACCTTTGGTGACCTGGGATAAGACAACCATAATCTTTGGTTGTCCAACGACATTTTATAAAGGACAAAGCATAGAGACACACAGGTAGAAAAACTTACAAGAATAAGAAAAGGCATGAATTTGGAAGAAAACCAGGGCATTAAACTCAAAGACACAGAATCTCTCAATCTCTCTCTCTCTCTCTAGGATGAGGAAAAAGGTAGGGCATGGTGGTGCATGCCTGTAATCCCACTTTTGGAGGCCAAGATGGGTGGATCACTTGAGTTCAGGAATTCGAGACCAGCCTAGCCAATATGGTGAAACCCTGTCTCTGCTAAAAATACAAAAATTAGCCGGGCATGGTGGTGCATGCCTGTAATTCCAGCTACTCGGGAGACTGAGGCAGGAGAATCACTTGAACCCGGGAGATAGAAGTTGCAGTGAGCTGAGATCGCACCACTGCACTCCAGCCTGGGTAACAGAGCAAGGCTTTGTCTCAAAAAACAAAACAAACCAAAAAAGAACCAGGAAAAGGTCAATTTGAGGACAGGTAAGATCAAAATGCACATGCTCTGCAGAAGGGAAAGTCCCTACTGAAGCTAGTTTGCTCGAATGACCTCAATTACAAGGTGAATGCTGAGGCTTACTGTGTTGACTGTGTGGTCACCACAGCAGCTGTGTCCCAAGAACATGGTCATTTTCTTGACTACCTATCCTGCTTCACGAGCATGACAGGTGTGACCCACCATGCCTGACCAATGGCATTAATTACATTCACAATGTATGCAATAATCACCATTATCTCTTTCCAAAACCTTTTCATTTCAAACAAATTCTGTAACCATTAAGCAATAACTCCCCACATCCCTTACCCAGCTGTTAATAACCTTTAATCTACTTCCTGTCTCTATGGATTTGCCTACTCTAGACATTTCACATAAGTAGAATAATACATTATTTGTTCTTTTGTATGTGGCTTCTTTCACTTAGCATAGTGTCTCAGGGTTCATCTACATTGTAGTGTGTGTCAGTGCTTCATTCCTTTTTTTTTGAGACGGAGTCTTGCTCTGTCGCCCAGGCTGGAGTACAGTGGCGCAATCTCCGCTCACTGCAGGCTCCACCTCCCAGGTTCACACCATTCTCCTGCCTCAGCCTCCTGAGTAGCTGGGATTACAGGTGCCTGCCACCACGCCCGGCTAATTGTTTTGTATTTGTAGTAGAGACGGGTTTCACTGTGTGAGCTGGGATGGTCTCAATCTCCTGACCTTGTGATTGCCCGCCTCGACCTCCCAAAGTCCTGGGATTATAGGCGTGAGCCACCGAGCCGGCCTGTTATCAATTCTTTTGAGTACAAACCTAGGAATGAAATTGCTGGATTGTATGATAATTCTATGTTTAGCTCCTGGGGGAACCACCCAACTGTTTTCCCCAGCAGCTGCATCATTTTACATTCTCATCAGCAATGTAGAGCTCTAGTTTCTCTACATCCTTGCCAACACTTGTCATTTTTGTTTGCTTGTTTAATGATTGCCAAATATGTGGGGGAAGAGGGGAACTCCTATCCTCCTCCATCTAGTCCTGGTGATAATGTCCATCACTGGATTCCCACATGGAATGGATTGAGTTCATGATCCAGAATGATGTTCTCCGTTCTCCCATGCAGAATGGTTGGTTCTGGTTTGGACACATGACCCACGAAGGGAAGATCACAGCCATACCTGGAGTTGAGGTTGGAGGCAGGGCTTGGACACTGGACCAAATTGAGGAGTAGCTAAAATAGATGGGGTGGAAGCAGCTTTCCATAAGATACACCCACCAGTGTGCCATGTCAGCTTACCATTGCCATGGCAACACCCAGGTGTCACCACCCCTTTCCATGCAATGACTCAATGACCCAAACATTACTACCCCTTCCCTAGAAAGTTCTGCATAAATTGCCCCTTATTCTACATGTACTTAAAAATGGGTATAAATATGGCTGCAAAACTGCCCAGAGCTGCTACTCTCAGCATACTTATGGTGGAGCCCTCCTCTGCAGGAGCAGTCACACCTGCTTACAGCAGGAGCTGTAACACCGCCTGCTGCTTTAGTACAGTTGTTTTCTTCTACCACTGGCTCGCCCTTGAATTCTTTCCTGGGCAAAACCAAGAACCTTGCAGACTAGGCCTCACTTTGGCGCTCGTTTGTCCTTCATCAGTATAATGTTATTAATAAATAAACATTGGTAGAGAGAAGTTTCATGTGCCCTGTGGCTGCTAGTCCCAAGGATGTGAATTTGGAGCTACTGGTGGACATCTTGCTGCCTCAAGAGGAGAGGTAATCTGCAGAATGAAGCTGAGCAGAAGCCAAAACAGTAGTGAGACAGAGAAATACAGGGTCCTGATGTTATTATTCAGATCCCTGAATTTGGTCTTGCATGAAACACACAGGCTTTGCAAGAAGACGCTTTGGATTTTGTAACGACATTAACCTGTCATTTCTCCCTAGGCTGATGATTTGAGTTGGTTTTCTTTTTTTTTTTTTTTTGAGACAGAGTCTCAATCTGTCTCTCAGGCTGGAGTGCAGTGGCGTGATCTCCACTCACTGCAAGCTCCGTTGCCTCCCGGGTTCACGCCATTCTCCTGCCTCAATCTCCCGAGTAGTAGCTGGGACTACAGGTGCCTGCCACCACGCCCAGCTAATTTGTTTTTGTATTTTTAGTAGAGATGGGGTTTCACCGTGTTAGCCAGGATAGTGTCGATCTCCTGACCTCGTGATCTGCCCGCCTCAGCCTCCCAAAGTGCTGGGATTGTAGGCGTGAGCCACCGCGCCTGGCCGAGTCATGAGATATTTAACATAAATTGCCTAATTTAGTTATTACAGCCCTACAAGGTGAATATTATTTCTCCACTCTATAGATGATGGGAGCTGGTGGTTCAGTGGAGGTTACTAGCTTTCCCAAGGCTGTGCAACTGGTAATAGTGGATCTGGAAATTGAGTGCTGGTCTGTGAAAATCCAAATGTTATGTTCTTAATCCCAGTACAGCTTCACAGGTATCTCCCAACAAGAACACCATCCCAGCTGGGTGGGCGATATAATACAGGGCTGTGAGTTTCCTCTAGCAGAAGTGTTTTTGCCAATGATTACCTCTTAGATTGCATCATTTTCAGTGTTGCCAAGTGCTGAGGCAGGAATTACGTATGGCAAAGCTTTATCGTCAGTGTTGAACACAAAAGAGCCAAGAAGGGGAAGGGGCAATTACTCTCTGCTTTTCTTAATGAGGCTCTCAGGGAATATGGCCCTAGTGGCCGTGGAGGCTCCTGTAAAGAGCTTGCCCTGTGATTCTTCCAAACATCCTTCCTGCATCAAGGGCTGAGTCTGTGCAGCCCAGCTCCTGATTCATGAGACACTCATCCTCAAAGCTCCAGTGACGAGTCACTCTCCCTCAGACCAATAACCTCTGGCCAGGTCTGAAAAAGGGAAGCCAACCCAGGACTTTGGGAGACAGTAAGAACTGCTGCTCTTTCTAGGTAAGAATCAGATCAGTGGCCAGGCGCAGTGTCTCACGCCTGTAATCCCAGCACTTTGGGAGGCCGAGGCGGGCGGATCACGAGGTCAAGAGATAGAGACCATCATGGTCAACATGGTGAAACCCCATCTCTACTAAAAATACAAAAAATTAACTGGGTGTGGTTGCACGTGCCTGTAATCCCAGCTACTTGGGAGGCTGAGGCAGGAGAATCACTTGAACTAGGGAGTTGTAGGTTGCAGTGAGCCAAGATCTCGCCACTGCACTCTAGCTTGGTGATAGAGCGAGACTTTGTCTAAAAAAAGCAAAGCAAAAAAAAAAAAAAAAGATCAGTGGGACTTCACTGATAACTACTTGTCAGGACGTAAAGCCTCGGAGGGACACTCCTTCCTTTCCATTATGCAGAGCCAGAAGAACAGTCCTGAGCTCAGCAGCAGTTCCTTGCAATCACCCAGTCAGGACCAGTCTCTGTCTAGTCTGTTTGACATCCTGAACTGTGGGGAACACAAACTGACTGAATTTCTGCCCAGACCTCTGGGTTATTCCATTTTAATTTTACAAATTGGACTCAGGGAGCTCAGTGGATATAGCCAAGAAGGTCTGGCTCAGCCTTCTGTAAACCTGAGCCCTGAACTTAGCAGTAGCAGTCCCAGCAGGGTTGACAATATTATCATTTACATCCTGCAAGCAAAATTCTACTGCCATTCCTGTGCCCCATCTTAACCAGCATTTTCCAAGGTGCTGCATTTCATCTTCTTCGTCTGCCTCTGTGTCCAGGATCCCAGGCCCATGAGCGGGACAAACCAGTCGAGCGTCTCCGAGTTCCTCCTCCTGGGACTCTCCAGGCAGCCCCAGCAGCAGCATCTCCTCTTTGTGCTTTTCCTGAGTATGTACCTGGCCACCATCCTGGGGAACCTGCTCATCATCCTGGCTGTCAGCACAGACTCCCGCCTGCACACCCCCATGTACTTCTTCCTCAGCAACCTGTCCTTTGTGGATGTCTGCTTCTCCTCCACCACCATCCCCAAGATGCTGGCCAATCACATACTCGGGACTCAGACCATCTCCTTCTCTGGCTGTCTCACACAGATGTATTTCGTTTTCATGTTTGTGGACATGGACAATTTCCTCCTGGCTGTGATGGCCTATGACCGCTTTGTCGCTGTGTGCCACCCCTTACATTACACAGCAAAGATGACCCATCAGCTCTGTGCCCTGATGGTTGCTGGATCGTGGGTGGTTGCCAACCTGAATGTCCTTCTGCACACCCTGCTGATGGCTCGACTCTCATTCTGTGCAAACAATGCCATCCCTCACTTCTTCTGCGATGTGACTCCCCTCCTGAAACTCTCCTGCTCGAACACACACCTCAATGAGGTCATAATCCTTAGTGAGGGTGCCCTGGTCATGATCACCCCATTTCTTTGCATCCTGGCTTCCTATATGCACATCACCTGCACTGTCCTGAGGGTCCCATCCACAAAGGGAAAGTGGAAAGCCTTCTCCACCTGTGGCTCTCACCTGGCTGTGGTTTTCCTCTTCTATGGCACCATCATTGCTGTGTATTTTAATCCTTTGTCCTCCCACTCAGCTGAGAAAGACACTATAGCTACCGTGTTGTATACAGTGGTGACCCCCATGCTAAACCCTTTCATCTACAGCCTGAGGAACAGGTCCTTGAAAGGGGCTTTGAAAAAAGTAGTTGGCAGGGCGGTGTTTTCTGTCTGATGAAATAATCAAGACTGAATCTCATTCCCAAGGAAATTTATTTTTCACCAATTGAGTTTAATGCAGTAGTTGTTGCATTAAATGATGTTCTTGCTAGTGGCACATAGAGGGAGATCTTATTACTTACACTAAGTTAAACTATTAATTATAATTTTTTTGAGACAGGGTCATGCTCTGTCACTCAGGCTGGAGTGCAGTGCCGCAATCTCAGCTCACTGCACCCTCCATCTCCCAGACTCAAGTGATCCTCCTGCCTCAGCCTCCTGAGCAGCTGGGACCACAGGTGTGTGTCATATGCCTAGCTAATTTTTTTTTCTTTTTTCTTTTTTTTTGAGATGGAGTCTCGCTCTGTCGCCAGCCTGGAGTACTGTTGCGGGAAGTCAGGGACCCTGAACGGACGGACTGGTTGGAGCCACGGCAGAGGAACATAAATTGTGAAGATTTCATTTTAATATGGACATATATCAGTTCCCAAAATTAATACTTTTATATTTTCTTATGCCTGTCTTTACTGCAATCTCTGAACATAAAATGTGAAGATTTCATGGACATTTATCAGTTCCCAAAATTAATACTTTTATAATTTCTTATGCCTGTCTTTAATCTCTTAATCCTGTTATCTTTGTAAGCTGAGGATGTACCTCACCTCAGGACCACTGTGATAATTGTATCTAACTGTACAAATTGATTGTAAAACATGTGTGTTTGAACAATATGAAATCAGTGCACCTTGAAAAAGAACAGAATAACAGCGATTTTAGGGAACCATAAGGTCTGACTGTCTAGAATTGGGCAGAATAACGCCATATTTTTCTTCTTGCAAAGAGCCTATAAACGGATGTGCAAGTAGGGGAGATATTGCTGAATTCTTTTCCTAGCAAGGAATATTAATAATTAAGATCCTGGGAAAGGAATGCATTCCTGGGGGGAGGTCCATAAATGGCTGCTCTGGGAGTGTCTGTCTTATGCGGTTGAGATAAGGACTGAAATACGCCCTGGTCTCCTGCAGATAAGGACTGAAATACGCCCTCAGGCTTATTAGTGTGGGGAAAAAAACCCAGCCTGGTAAATTTGAGGTCAGACTGGTTCGTTGCTCTTGAACCCTGTTTTCTGTTGTTTAAGATGTTTATCAAGACAATACATGCACAGCTAAACATAGACCCTTGTCAGGAGTTTTTTGATTTTGTCCTTTGCCTTGTGATCTTTGCCCTCTGCCTTGTGATCTTTATTGGCCTCGGAAGCATGTGATCTTTATTCTCCTTTTTTCCCTTTGACGCCTGTGATTTCTGTGACCTACTCCCTGTTTGTACACCCCCTCCCCTTTTAAAGTCCTTAATAAAAACCTGCTGGTTTTGCAGCTCAGGTGGGCATCACGGTCCTACCGATATGTGATGTCACCCCAGGATAAAATTCTTCTCTTTGTACTCTTTCTCTTTATTTCTCAGCCGGCCGACACTTAGGGAAAATAGAAAGAACCTATGTTGAAATATTGGGGGCGGGTTCCCCCAACAGAGTGTGGTGGAACCATCTCAGCTCCCTGCAACCTTCACCTCCCAGGTTCAAGCAATTCTCCTGCCTCAGCCTCCTGAGTAGCTGGTACTACAGGTGTGCACCACCAGTGCAGCCCGGGTGAAGACTCACTGGCCTCATCCTCCTTTTATGTGTCCTCCGCAATGGTCAAGCATAAAGGGTGGGTCACAAAAACACTCAGGCAAAAGAACGGCAGAGTGAGGCCGGGTGTGGTGGCTCATGCCAGTAATCCCAGCAGTTTGGCAGGCTGAGGCAGGTGGCTCACTTGAGGTCAGGAGTTCGAGACCAGCCTGGCCAACATGGTGAAACCCTGTCTCTACTAAAAATACAAAATTAGCTGGGCGTGGTGGCAGGCACCTGTAATCCCAGATACTCAGGGGGCTGAGGCAAGAGAATTGCTTAAACTTCGGAGGTGGAGGTTGCGGTGAGCCAAGATGGTGCCATTGCACTCCAGCCAGGGTGAGAGAGCAAGGTTCTGTCAAAAAAGGAAGGGGAGGGGAGGGGAGGGGAGGAGAGGGGAGGGGAGGGAAGAAAGACAGAGCCCAGTAAAATGTGAGTACTACAGCGAGTAGCAAGCATTTCAGATGAGCCTCGGGCACTGGCTCGCTTGTAGCCCAGGTGGTGCCGAGGTGAAGCGAGGCTGAACCACGGGAACCGGCTAGGAGCACCCTCATCGGCTGCCTGACTTAGGGGGCGGGGTCAACTGGAGCCAGGTCTTTGACATCAGGGAAACAAATTGACATTTGGTCTTCCCTCCATCCAGACCAACTGCCCCTGGCTCTCTTCTCAAGTCAGCTCCCACCTACACCTTCAAGAACCAAGTCAATGCCACCACCTCCTCCATGAAGCCTCTGGATTCCCTCTTCCGGCTGTCAGAGCTCTGTTTTTCTTTGGTTTATCATTCCCTCTTCACAAGGGCTTTCCACAGACTAGGAGACCTACAGACCTGAATACACACACGACTCACTTTGTATCTCGGTGTCCAGCACTGCTTCTAGACTAAAGGTGATCGTCAATTTTAATTGAAAGGAAAAAATATAGGTGAATGCATATTACCATACATTTTAATTTGGAGAGAGTTACTTGACAATAAGAAAGAAATAGCAGAGTGAAATGTGAGTACTACGGCAAGTAACAAGCATTTCAGATGAGACTTGGGCCCTGGCCAGCTTGTAGCCCAGGTGGTGCGGAGGTGAAGAGATGCTGAACCGTGGAAACTGGCCAGGAGCACCCTGATTGGCTGCCTGACTTAGGGGGTGGGGTCAAATAACAAAAAATCATTTTGTTAGCTGAAAGCTAGTGTCTACCTATGCACTATGGTACACCAAAAATCATAAAGAAGAACATTAAAGTAACCTGTATCCTTGCAGCTCAAAGGTAATCACAGTTAGGCACTTGGAATATTGTTTTACAAAAGTTGGCTGCAATCGATTGCATATAATTTTGAGTTCTGATTTTCCACTTCCTACTTCCCATGTCAGTGGAGGTCTTAGAAATGTGACTTTTTTTGTTTTTGTTTTTGTTTTTGAGACAGAATCTCACTCTGTCACCAGGCTGGAGTGCGGTGGTGCGACCTTGACTCACTGTAACCTCCGCCTCCTAGATTCAAGCAATTCTCCTGCCTCAGCCTCCTGAGTAGCTGGGACTACAGGAACACACCACCACGCCCAGCTACTTTTTGTATTTTTAGTAGAGATGGGGTTTCACCATGTTGGCCGGGATTGTCTCGATCTCCTGACCTCGTGATCCACCCGCCTTGGCCTCCCAAAGTGCTGGTATTACAGGCATGAGCCACCATGCTCGACTCAGAAATGTGATTTTAATGGCTGCATAATATTTCATCACAGGGACGTGATATAATTCACCCATTCCCCAACTCTGAACAATTTCAAGTGTTTCTGTACTATAACACACACTGCTGCACACTTCCTTGTGTGTGAATCGTTGTTTGTATTTATTATTGCCACAGGTAGCCTGAGTGATCTATTTCTCCAGCTTGGAGTAAAAATTAATGTCACTTTTCCTTTGTTATTCATTATTTCTGCCTAACCATACCCTGCCATTACTACCAGCACCTCCCTGTGGGTGTCAAAAAGCACCCCAGAAGTTCACTCAAAGGAGTCAGTCAGGTGGAGAGAGGGAGAGAATGCGGAGCTGAAAGCATCCACTGGCACGATCCTGTGAGTTGCTGGTACACAGTGTAGTCCCTGCCCTTCGATGTCTGAACAGCTGGAAGCCTGTGTGCTGCAATATAGATGCCTGTGCCCCATCCCTCTGGGGGTCACACCGGGACCCACCTAAGTTCAGATCACAGTTATCTGTGTTCAAACTCATGTTATTCTCCATTAAAATCTGACTCCGGGCCGGGCGTGGTGGCTCACACCTGTAATCTCAACACTTTTAAAGTTCAAGGAGGGAGGATCATTTAAGCCCAGGAGCTTGAGACCAGCCTGGGCAATATAGTGAGACTCCATCTCTACAAAAAATTAAAAAATTAACTGGGCATGGTGGCTCATACCTGTAGTCCCAGCTACTTGGGAGGCTGAGGTGGGAGGATCACTTGAGCCCAGGAGGTTGAGGCTGCAGTGAGCTGTGATGGCACCACTGCACTCCAGCCTGGGGAATAAAGCAAGAGCCTGTCTCAAAAAAAAAAAAAAAGAAAAAAAAATCTGCCTCCAGATATATAACCCACCCCCCCTGGCCCTGGGCTTCCAGTCCACTGTGTCAAACCAGGTTTCCAGGAACACCCCAGAGCAGATCCAGGCTTATTCCTTGAGATTCCCCTTTGGTCCCTGGGATCTTTTTAATGTGGAATGACTTCGAATCTATTTTTTTCTCATAATATAGCTGTAGCTATAAAATATAATTCAAATAGGTCTATGAAGATATAATTATTGATTCTGACTGCTTCTATTAATTTATTGATTTGTGAGAGTCTAATATTAACATTTCAATTCTTTCTTTCTTATGTTCAATAGTTTACTTTTTCTATTATTATTTACAGGATGATTGCCGTAAGCTTTTACTTTTTTTTTTTAACTTTTTTTTTTTTTTTTTTTTTTGATGAAGTCTGCACTCTGTTGCCTAGGCTGGAATGCAGTGGCATGATCTCAGCTCACGTGCACCTCTGCCTCCTGGGTTCAAGTGATTTCCTGTCCTCAGCCTCTTGAGTGCTGCTGGGATGCAGACATCCCACCCAGCCATGCCTGGCTAATTTCTGATTATTTATATAATAGAAATTGGGGTTTCTCCATGTTGGCTAGGCTGGTCTGAACTCACTGACCTAAGCAAGTTCGCCTACCTCAGCCTCCCAAAGTTCTGGGATTACAGGCATGAGCTACCATGCGGAGCCAGCTTTACTTTTTGATTTGATGTTTGGTTATGGAGGTGATGTGGTTTGGTTGTTTGTCTCCACCAAATCTCATGTTGAAATGTGATTCCCAGTGTTGGAGGTGGCACCTGGCAGGAGGTGTTTAGGTCATGGGGGTGGGTCCCTCATGAATGGCTTGGTTCCCCCCACATGGTAATAAGTCATCATGAGCTCTGATTGTTAGAGCCTGGGAGCTTCCCCTTCTCCCTCTTGTTTCTTCTCTCTTCAGGTGACACACCTGTTCCCACTTCACCTTCTGCCATGATTGGAAACTTCCTGAGGCCTCACCAGAAGCAGATGCCCA